AGGCAGAGCACACAGAGGCGCTGAAGTTCTGCGAGAAAGTGATCCTGGTGTGCGGGACCTGCAGGTGGACTTTGGAGGCCAAATTCGCTAGAAACAATGCAAATTGGGAGCAGGCATGGCCTCCCCCGCCCATTAAGGGGAAGCTGTGGTCAAAAGCTTTTTGTTCCGCAACTGCGCTCCCCAGATCCTGGGCGCACCACCTCGACTGTGGTCTCCGTCCTCTGAGCTGCGCTTTCTAGTGACTTGGATTTTCTTCCCGCGAACGTCGGGTTCCTAGAGGTGCAGGGGAAGATGGGAGCCCGATCTCCGAGGAGCCCCGAGCCTCCGTGGCCGCCAGCGCCCTCTCTCTCCTGCTCGGGAGGAGCCCTCCTGGCGGTGCTGATGCTGCTCGCGCTGCCGGCTGCCTGGGGTGAGATGCGGGCGGGCGGGCGGCCGGGCGGGCGTGGGGAGCGGCTCCAGCCGGGACGCAGCCTCAGGATCCCCGCATCCTGGGGGTTCGTTTCCAGTGGGCTCAGCTGCGAGAGGGCGAGGTCACGGGGCTCTGCGACCCCCTCTGTGTCCTCAGACCCTCCTGGCCTCTGGGTAGAATCGGGTTCCCCTCTGCAGGGTCTTAAGCGTCCCCAGCGCAGGGAGAGCGCAGATGCGCAGGTGGCACAGCATGAAGTCCTTGCCTTCCCTGCTGATCAGGACTGGCTGTGTGAGGACGGGGCGCTGATCCGAGTGCCAGAAAGAGGTCTGGGCATTCCACCAGCCTGGGTTCTAATCCTGGAAACTTCTTAGCTGTGGGGAAAGTGACGACCCCTGCCTGCGTCACTTTCCTCTTCTGTGAGATGGCAACGCTCCTAGCCTTACCTCACCAAGCTGCTATCTAAATGGCATAAAGCATGCCAAGGGTTGAACCCAGCGCCTGTCATTTCATTTCTGTTCCCCAGCCATTAGCTCTGCGCTTTCTTCATGGGGGTGTTTGGACCAGCAGCGCTGGGAGGTGCGGTTTTCCCCAGAAATCTGCCCTGTATCCGGCCAGTATTCAGCCCACGCCCTCCCCAGACCAGCACCTCCATCATCAATGCGCACTCACTGAGCAGCTATTTGAGGGCATACCCCTCACAGGGCACTTGGGTTAGGAGAACTAGTGACAGTCCAGACCCCTCAGCGCAGCTGGCCTCCGGGAGAAGGCACCCTGGAAAAGTGGACCCGTTTTAGCCATGAGTTTAGAACTAAATAGAACCATTCTAACCATTATGGAAATTTTGAGGTCATGCCTTCCCTTCCTTCCTTCCTTCTGACTTTAGGTAAACAACTTCAATGAGAGCCCTTCTCTTCTTATTTTTGGCTTTCCCAAAAGACCTTTGAGTTGCTGGGGCTCCCTGGCCACATCTCAGTTGGAGTGACAGTCTGGTTCTGTTTGCCCAGCCTCTTCTGGACAACTGAGCTGGGCTCTTGGCTGTTACTTGTTACTTTACATTCGTTCTTGGATGGCGCCCTCCCTCATGGGAAAAGAAAAACCAGGTTTTCAGAAAAGTTGGTGTTAATGTTTCATCTCCTTAGACATCAGAACGTAATCTGTTAGGGGAGGAAATGTAATAGAACCTAAAGTTTTATTTTCAGAAGAGAAGCGTCGCCAGTGAGGTAAGCCAGCTGTTGTCAGTGCTTGGAAATTGCTGTGGACCTTGTGAGTATCTGGCTCCCTTCTTACTGGAATATTGTGATAGTTCCCCCTGTTAACAATCTCAGACACTAGTAACTGCCCCCACGTTATTTTACTAAGGTCACCACACTAGCCTCCGAATGTAAAACAGCCAAAACCCATGGTCGGCAAACTGCGGCTCGCGAGCCACATGCGGCTCTTTGGCCCCTTGAGTGCGGCTCTTCCACAAAATACCAAGCAGACGTGCACGTACAGTGCGATTGAAACTTTGTGGCCCATGCGCAGAAGTCGGTTTTCGGCCTGGGCGAGTCTATTTTGAAGAAGTACTGTTGATATTTGGCTCTGTTGACTAATGAGTTTGCCAACCACTGGTAAACTAAGCTAACTAGTGATTTACTTGCCAAAGTAGTTTAGATAAAGAAAGTGTTGATGGAATGCTGACAATGTCACAGCACTTTGGAGTTGAAAAGAAGTCTGAGAGAACCATGCCTCCCAGGCGGATGCATACAGACCTAGAGTGGTGAGGTTTTATGAAATCTCTATCATTGGGAGACCAGGGTTCTGGTTTGTCCAGTGTCTGCTACATACCAAATGGCAGTCTTGGATCCAGCAAGTCAATTAACATCCCTAACTTCCAGTGTCCATGAGTAGAAAGTGAGCATATTTGACATCCTGTTATCTGAGAGGGCTATTGCAAAAATTGCATGAGGTAGTGTATGTGATAGTGTTTTGGAACCTGAAAATCCCTGTGCACATCTGAGGGACCCTGACTAGGAAGTCACACCAGACAACCTCAAAGCCACAGGAGGTCTGAAATGGAGACATCTCAGCTTCAATGAGTGGAAGGAGCACAGCTTAAGCAGCACTTAGGGAGGGAATCCAAAAAACAGTTGTACAGGATGATTCACATGGCTATTGGGTTTATATACCTAGGAGCACACTAAGGAAGCATGACAGTGTTCAATAAAGCAGTCTCTGTTGCCCTCTCCTGGGCCTCAGGTCAGCTCTCACTCTTGGCCCCTGCTGTGTAGAGATGCAAGGTAGAAAGGAGGGGCATTCCTGTTCGCTTTCTGTGTTTTGTGACATATTTCAGTTTACATGTATATGCTCAGATGAGAAGGTGTGTATGGTGTCCATTGCCTAGTTTTACCTACTGTAACCTTCACCATTGGACAAGTAACTTCAGAATTGTCTTGCATAGAAACACTGAGTGAAATAATTCTAATAAGGTGAACTCAAGGAAGTAAGAAAATAGCATACCTGACAACCACTCCCCCACACACAGACACACAAACTCATATACAAGCTCTGTCAATCTCATCACAGCTGACCAAAGATTGATAAAAGCAAAAATGTAGAAAGTATCAAGAAACTAGCAATAGATAGCTTTATCCATCATTACCAAGAGAGAAACTCACTCTAACTGTATTTTTTCTGTTTAAATGTTAGTTAATGATCATATTATATTATGATTAGTAAAGCATTTATAATGTTTATTTCATCTCTATCCTATTTCTAGAAGATTTTAGCAAACATGATTAATTGTTAATTGGGCCTCACTGGCATACCCAAAACACTATACCCACTACCACAGACACACCTTAAAAAAATACATCTGATACAGTTACATCAGTTGACTATATGCTGAGACATACAAGTGTCAATCAATTTCAAAACTTCATAATAAATCTACAGCTTAAAATTTCCTCAAATGTTTATAAATTATGCAAAACATTGCTACATAAGCCATGGGTCAATGAAGAAATCACAATGGCCATTCACAAATACTTTGAACTGAAAATATGCATTTGTACACTGGAAACCTATATAATTTCATTAACCAATGACACCCCAATAAGTTTAATAAAGTTAAGAAACTCAAAAACCTGAAAATATGGTACATCAAAACTGAGAATACAGCTAATTCTATGCTCAGAATAAAATAATAATACGAATGCTTATTTCACAAATTATGTAAAGCTGAAAATAAAAAAATCTAAGTTACCATCTTAAGAAATTTATTTTTAAACTCAGCAAATAGGCTCAATAAAATTTTTTAAAAGGTAAAATAAAAATAAGTACAAATCAATAAATCCAAAAGTTGATTACTTACAGCCTAATAAAATTGAACAATCTACCCTCCATTATTTAAATTAAGTAATAAGGTGTGTGGAAAGAAATAGAAGATTAATCAAAACAGAACAGAACCTATTTCTAATGTAAAATACTTTTCCAATAGCTATTTCTTCTTTATTACATATTAGAGGCCCAGTGCATGAAATTCATGCATTTGGTGGGGTCCCTCAGCCTAGCCTGAGCCCTCTCACAGTCTGGGAGCCCTTGAGGGATGTCTGACTGATGGCTTAGGACCGATCCCCAGCGCCGGCAGTCACACATCCCTCTCACAGTCTGGGCCTAAGGCGGTAGTCGGATATCCTTAGCATTGTTGCGGAGGCGGGAGAGGCTCCTGCGACCACCGCTGCACTCACCAGCCATGAACCCAGCTCAGGGCTTCTGGCTGAGCAGGACTACCCCTGTGGGAGCACATTGACCACTACTGGGCAGCTCCTGTGTTGAGCATCTACCCCCTGGTGGTCAGTGAGCATCATAGCTACCAGTTGTTCTGCTTTCAGTCGATTTGCATATTAGCTTTTATTACATAGGATTGTTTAAGTCTACATGGTATTTTTATTAGTTTAACTTAAACCTTTACATCTTAAGAAGTAAATGAGTCTAATATTTAATTCAAAATGTGCATTATAAAATATAGGCCCTCACAAAGTTTAGTTGTTGAGTTTGGTCTGCAAAACATGTGCTGAATTTTCCTGTGCTGATGTATTGACTTGGCAACATCTTTTAATAGTTGTGACCACCACTGAAGGCCAGAGAAGAGGCTGTTGTGCTGCTAGGTCTGGGTGGTCAACTGGGAATGAAGATAGATGGTGAAATGCATGTGTGCTGCTTATTACGCAAGAGGATGGGGTAAAGGAAGCCAGAGCCCAGGGACTTTCTGATGGATAAAATGTGAAGCTACGAATTAGTTTTTCCCTCAGTGAAAGAACAGATAGATTAGATACATAGATATAGATAAAATAGATAAAGATTAGATATAAATATATATAGATATAGATATACCTTAATTGCCTTCAAAATAGCAGGCACTTTTAAAATGGATAGATGCTGTTTTAAAAAGCTCTTTTCTAAAGTTGCTGCTAAGGGAACAATCCTTTTACCAGCATTAAAGTGTTCATTTTCTTTTTCGATCACATCTATGAAACATATTGGAGAAAAAGAGGAGGTGGAATAGAAGTTCCCTCATTGACCCTGATGCCCCTGTGATCTTGGCCTTCAGGTCAATGCCAAGCCCCACCAAGGTTTGCGTCTGCCATGCCCACAAGATGGACTGATGAGGTTGAGTTTCCCATTGGGACATCTTTGAAGTATAAATGCCGCCCTGGTTACCAGGGGAGAGGTTTCTCTATCACCTGTCTAAAAGACTCGGTCTGGTCAAGTCCTGGAAGCTGTACACGTAAGTAACTCTGGACTGAGAACTCCTCTGTCTCAGTGAAACATCCATAAGAACTGGTGCAATTGTTCAGATTTGGGAATGAAAACATCTATGACTTGTAAGTCTGCCTAATTAGGACCTGAGGACCAAGAGAGGTCATATCTTCCTACTGCTTTGAGTTCCTGGCACCTTCATTAAAATTTCATTTCATAAGAAACTGTCATTATAGGGCACGATTGAGGGAAATCTCCATTCACTAGGCATCTGCCATTTTCACAACTGAAACTGATGAATGACTCAGGAAAGGAAAAAGAAGTGCAAGTAGAACAAAAGCCCAGACTCAGACCTTTACTCTGGTTGAATCACAGAGTAAACACTTTGTTAACAAATAAAGTTTACATTTTCCTGGGAGGCATGAGGTGAGGATTAGATAGAACTGGAGGGGAGGTCTTTTTGAAAGTGGTGCTTAGTAGGTGGCTGATTTTGAGAAGGTGTTGTGAAATTCCCCAATGTGGCAAAACCTGTAGAACTACAAATGTTCTTCAGTAAGCTGCAGCCAGGTTGGGTCTTTACTAAGAGAAGTTCAAGGATTTCTACACCCAGTCCCAAAATTCTGCTTCTTTCCCATAGGTAAATCATGTGGAACTCCTTCCGAACCCACAAATGGCAAAATGGAAATAACTGGAGACGCCAAGTTTGGATCAACTATTAATTATTCTTGTAATGAAGGGTGAGTTTGCAGTAGCATTTGGGGGGTGGTGAGGGGAGGTGACGGTTCAAAAATTGTAACAGCAATTTCTAAACCATAGTATTAGAGAGGAGAGTCAAACTACCTACCCGTTAAAACAAACCAATAGGATTTCTAAGTGGAGGTGGTAGCTTCAATACAGGCATTTAAATACCCTTGAAATGATTAAGCATATATTTCAAAAATAGGAAAAAAATCTAGAAAATGGGGCGGGGGGTGCCTGTTGTACACCAAATTAATGCACATAAAACCAGGTGAAGCATTCATTGGATGGGGAGGACCAGCTCTCTAAAGAAGCAAATGGAACAAACACTAGTTGACCCACAAATATATTCTCTCCTCAAAGCACCAAGAGCTGGGGATGGTGGATTCAGGGGGAAGTGGGAATGATTTGTTTGGGAGGATGGAGCAGGTGTGAGGAATGGGCAGATCTGAATTGTGATAGCTCCTCTCCAGAAGTGCTCACAGTGCAAGCATCATGCTGGGGACATCTTCTTGGCCTATCCTTGGGGGAGGCACCCATTTAGGAAAGAAGTAGGGGGACTGCTTCACCTTATACTTCACTTTTGCTTTGCTTTTTTGCTCACTTATAATACATACAAAATAATATATGTGAACACTTAACATAGCGGTAACAATAAAATGAGCTCCAGTGTATAAACTACTCACCTTAAGAAATATTACTAATACCTTTGGGGCCTCCTGTGTGTCCTTCCCAATTCTCGTTCCTCCACCTCCAGAATGTCTCCAGAAGCAAGCGCCATTCTGAATTTTATGTTTTTCATTCCCTGGAGTTTCTTTTTTTTAATTAAAAAAATATTTTTATTGATTTCAGAGAGGAAGGAGGAGGGAGAGAGAGAGAGAGAAACATCAATGATGAGAGATAATCATTGATTGGCTGCCTCCTGCACGCCCCTCCCCGCCCCAGTGGGGCCCAAGCCCACAACCCAGGCATGTGCCCCTGACTGGAACCGAACCCAGGACCCTTCAGTCCCCAGGCTGACATTCTATCTACTGAGCCAAACCAGCCAGGGCTGGAGTTTCTTTTTTATCTCCTCCCATGCATCATCCTAATCAGTATACGTATTTTTAAAATATGTATTTTTTTTTATTTCAGAGAGGAAGGGAGAGGGGGAGAGAGAGAGAAACATCAATGATGAGGGAGAACCATTGATCAGCTGACTCCTGCATGCCCCCCACTGGGGATCTAGCCAGCAAAATTTCTGAATGGGCCAGATATTGAGTTGAAATTTAAAAAAAGGAGTATGGGTGACTCTAAGATTTTTGGTTTGATCTGAAAGAAGGAAATACCAGCAATGGAATAGAAGTATTTTTTTTCCTAACATTCAACACTAAATGGTATATATACTTTTTAAATTTAAAAAACCCCACATTTTTATTGATTTCAGAGAGGAAGGGAGAAGGAGAGAGAGAGAAACATCAATGATGAGAGAATCATTGACCGGCTGCCTCCTGCATGGCCCCTACTGGGGATTGAGCCCACAACCTGGGCATGTGCCCTTGACCAGAATTGAACCCGGGATCCTTCAGTCCATAGGCCGGTGCTTTATCCACTGAACCAAACCAGCTAGGGCTTAAATTTTTAAAAAATAATTCTTTATTGTTGAAAGTATTACATATGTCCCCTTCCCCCCCACCCCCCCACCATCCCCCTGACCCACCCCAGCCCCCTCCCCCCGCCCCAGGGGCACATGTATTTTAAAAATTTTTTAATATTATTTCCAACTGAAATTATTATTAGTCACGTTTATAAAATGAAGAGACATACGTTTATAAAATGAAGAGACATACATACATAAAAATGCTTTAACTAGAATTCTTCCTAGGATAGACATTGTGGCTTCAGAAGGTGAAACTCCTAAAACTCCTAAGAGGCTGTCCTGTGCAAGGCAAAGGGAAGAAGTTGCTTGTTACTGCAGAGAAGCAGGAATAGAAAGACAAGTGAGGAAGAGAATAAAGTGCCAAATGGTACCCACTCCCCAGGGTAACAGCTCCCTAGAACTGCCCCCAAATAAAATGCTTTGAGCAAGTGGATCTAGGGAGAGACATATAAAAGGGCAGGTCCACTCCACGCCTACTCTACCAACAGCTGTGTCCGTAGCAGATTATTCTGGGTGGTTTCTCAGAGAAACCTCCCATGCCCATGTCTCCCGGTCCTCTTGAGAGACAGTCTAGACTCTAGATAAATGTCTCCTTCTCCTGTTGGCACCAACACATATGAAGTGGGAAGCTCATCCTCACCAGAAAGCCAGAGAACAGGCCAGAGAGTTTATTCTCCATCGCGAGGGTTGGACATCCCCCATTCCCCGTCTAGTGACATCAGGCAGCCCAGCAAAGCACCTTCACTCCCACCGGCAGCAGGGATACATCCAGAACTTAGCGGAGCCAGAAGAATGAAGCAGACCAGAATGGCATTACAAGGCTCAGAAGACTGAGCTTTCATTGGAACTAAAACAAAAGGAATATAGAATCTACCCAACAACTAAATGACATCCACTGCTGTCACACTTTACATTGATCTCTGATTGGCTTATTTTGCTGTTTGAATAAAGCTTGTGCTGCTATATCTATCTATCTATCTATCTATCTATCTATCTACCTACCTATCTATACATTTAGCAGCATACACACACACACACACACACACACACACACATATATATATATATATATATATATA